GAAACGAGAATCCACTCATCGACAGATGAATGGATAAAGAAGATGTGGGATAAATATAATGGAACACCACTCAGCTAAAAAAGAAGGAAATCTTGCCATCGTGGATGGACTTCAAGGGTGTTATCCTAAGTGAAGTTAAGTCAGACACAGAAAGGCAAATACCGGATGATTTCTCTTGTCTGTGAGCAACAAGCGAGATCATCGACACAGAGACTAGATTGCTGGTTGTCAGAGGCGGGGGTGTGGGGTGGAAGAAATGGATGAACTTTTTCTTCAGTTTAAATGAATTGAATAACTTATATATTTTAAAAATTTATTTATTCATTTTAGAGAAAGAGGGAGAGAGTGCATGAGTTAGAGGGGCAGAGAGAGAGGGAGAGAGAATCCCAAGCCGCCTCTGCACTGAGCTTGGAGTCCGACGCAGGGCTCGATCCCAGGACCCTGAGATCATAACCTAAGCTGAAGGCAGATGCCTCACCGACTGAGCCCCGCAGGTGCCCCCAGCCCATCATGATTCTTAAAGAAGAAAGGAGATCATGGGTCTTGCAGACGTAATCCTGGGCCCAGCACGTAGTCGCTTCAGACCGTGTGCAAGGTTTAGGTTGCAGAGGAGGAACTGTGGACAAGGAGTCTCAGCACAGAGCGCCAGGGGCTGCGGAAACAGTGGAGACCGCGTCACGAAGAGCTGTCACCTGCTGAAGGCCTGGCAGGCTGTGCCTCACCTACCATGGTCACTACCCCAGAGAAGGATGGGCAATTAGTGCTATTTTTCTGTTTTAAGGACATAATAATCAATTGAAATCGAAACAGACTAATGACTTGCCTGAGGTCACCTGACCAGTGAGCACCGGAGCCCAGGTCTTTGCCTTTCGCATAGCCAAAATTTACTAAGATGGCAGAAAGGAAACAATGTTTGCTGTGATTCCACCAACAAGATCCTACATGTAAAAATCCAGTGGAAAATGCACATATCTCAGAACTCAGGGAGGCCCGTAAATGAGAGGCCCACACACACCCACTGAAGACGACTTTGTCACGCCAGAGGCCGATTTCTCAGGTTTTCCAGGGCACCCACCCTTGAAGCATCCCAATGCATGGGAAAGTCTCCGACGTCCAACCACACCTCTCTCCAGCCCACCAAGTGCATTTCTGGTCAGCGGTGCTCAAGGAGGAGAAGACATTTATCCATGTAAATCCCTCCTAAAACGGGAAACTGCTTTGAAATTGATTTCCACCCCAATCCTATTTTTTTTAAAGATTGATTGATTGATTGATTTAGAGAGCACGAGTTGGGGGGGGTCAGCAGAGGGAGCGAGAATCTCCAGCAGAATCCACACTGAGCACGGAACCCCACCCGGGGTTCAATCTCACGACCCTCAGATCACAATACGAGCTGAAACCAAGAGTTGGATGTTTAACCGACAGAGCAGCCCAGGCGCCCAAGTTGAGAACTGCTTTGAAGTCTGTTTCCATCCCAACCCCTCTTTATCTAGATGTTCCTGACGTGCTTCCCTCCTACGTGAAGGAGTCCCACGCCATAGGAAAGGCTCTGATGCCAAAAGGGAGGCACCCCCTCCGTAGAAGAAGCTGCCAGACAGAGTGGCCCCAACAGAAATTCACTAAGTGTTCTGCACACTCCAGCCAGCTGAGCCCAAGCCTGGCATTCTAGTAGTGCTCAGGAAACACTTGCTGGTCGAACCCAAGCACGTGGGAACCTACCAACAGTGAAATACCAGGTCCAAATACAGGCTAGCAGGTGCACAGGGCCTCTACCCCCAAAGAACCATAGGCCTCCTGACCTGAGCTGTGGCAAGAAAAAGCCCAGCCCTCCACATAAGCAGAAGAGCTGTCATGCATTCATTCATTCATCCGTGCCTGCCTGCATTTATTCCACTGCGTTTCCTGAGTGTGAAGCCCCAGAACCATGGGTGTGGTCTACAGCCCCAGCCTTCCCCTGTCCCCAGGCGGCACCCCAGCTGCTGGGGGAAGACAGACAGACAGACAGATGATTAGTCCATTCTGGAGGCTAGCAGCACAGAAGGTGGGTGTAAGTGGAGATAAGAGACAGAGGACCTATCTGTCCACTTTGGCAGAGGGAGCCACTCCCATGGCCAGAGCAGGGCGTACAGGACACACCCCAGCCCTGGCGGGCCACCCAGGGCAATGCATCCTGCTGGGGCACCGCACGGCCCAGGCAGCCTGGCAGCCCCCTAAAAGTTTGTAAAATATGGGACGCCTGGGTGGCTCAGTGGGTTAAAGCCTCTGCCTTCGGCTCAGGTCATGATCCCAGGGTCCTGGGATTGAGCGCCGCTTCGGGCTCTCTGCTTGGCAGGGAGCCTGCTTCCCTTTCTCTCTGCCTGCCTCTCTGCCTCCTTGCGATCTCTGTCTATAAAATAAATAAATAAAATATTTTTTTAAAAAGTTTGCAAAATATATTTGGTAATGAGTGATTCCTAAGTCAGGGCAGTGGGAAAACGTTTCTAATGAAATGTCTTTGTCCTGTCCCTGCCTTCCTGCCGTCCCCACCCTGAGTACCTCTCTCATCGGTGTCTTGTGCACCCTTCTGGAGCTTCTTCATCCAATGTCATAGTCCCTTGTCTTTCATAAAGGTAGTGTGCCCTCCTCACTGGCTCAGACCTCGAAAAGAAGGGCGTTCTGTTTTCTCAACGCTCCGGATTCCGCAGACTCACCATACATATTGCTGTCTATGTTCAAGTTTGTTGGTAAAAGGGGAGAACAGGTCAAGGCTTTGAAGTGATTTGATTAGACAGCAGAGAGGCCTGTCTATACCTGCTGGACCAGTGAAGGAAGCACAGTCAGGGTCTCCAGGGTCTCTCTGAAAGCCAGGGAGCGCGCTACCTAGTAACAGCCACACACACAGGGCCTGCCGGGGGAAGCAGGGAATAGTGCAAACATTTTTTAATCTTTTTTTTTTTTTTAAAGATTTATTTATTTGGGGGGTGCACAGGAAGAGGAAGAGTGAGAGAGAATCTCACGCAGGCTCCATGCCCAGCACGGGGCTGGATTTCCCAACCATGAGATCATGACCTAAGCTGCAACCAAGAGTCGGACACTTAACCAACTAAGCACCCCCCAGGTGCCCCCATTTTTTAATCCTTTCACTATGGGGGGGGCCTGAATATTGCCAGCAATGATCTAAAGTAAAAGAAAGAAAATCAAGTGAGAACCAGCTCAGCTCCACTTCCCAGTGTTAACTATTGGTAACTGTTGGGGCCGAGGTTGATGCCCCATTTTATGGGACAGCGGCATCGGGGTAGCAGCTAAGGCAGTTCTGGGGGTCGCGAGAGAAGCCAGCTGGGACGTGGAGATTGAGGCCCACTCTAGGCCCCGGTGCTCCAAGAATCCTGGTGGGCTGGGGATGTGGGCACAGGGCAGGGCGCTGATTACACCCTCCCTTCCTCTCACTCCCTCAGCCCTCTCTGCCCTGTTCTCTACAGGTCCTGTGTCCATGTCTGTCCTCGGCCTCTGTGCAGCTCTGAGCGAGGAGAGTCTCGATGACCAGGGGGCTCCCAGGCCTCACAGGCACTTGGCAGAGGGAGTCTTCCACACGTACTTAATGGAGAGGCTGCACTGGCCTTGAACGCCAGCTCTAGATTCTGAAAGGGTTGCCGCCAGCAATCGGGTGTCCTCCAGGAGGCTCAGGCCACAGGCTCTCTACCTGGCCAGGGCCTGATACTCAGGGGGCTCCCTTGACCTTACAGGGAGTCCCTGGCCCCTGGCTCTGACCGCCTGCCACCCCGGTCCAGCCCCAGGAATCCCCCTCCCCCACCCCAGGTGAGAAGATGGGCAACCCAAGAGGATAAGGCAGCTGCACAGACACAGAGGAGGAAGCCACCAGTTTTGTTGTCGGCCATGCACCTGCCAGGCTTTGGATCCAGACAGACTGACCTCTGAGCACTCCTCCCCTCACTTGGTCAAAGATGCTGAGGCCTGGAGGGGCCAAGCAGCTTAGCGCATTGAGCTGCTGCTCACAAGTGGGGCCGAAGTCGGGTATGCTGTGCACATAGCGGGACAGAGCCTACAGGCCTCCCTCCACAGGCCAGGGTGCCTCCCACTTGCCCCCAGGAACTCGCTGCCTGTGGCGTTGCCATCAGCCTCATCTCTGGGTTTAAATCTGAGTCTTGGCCACTTTCTTCCCCACAATTTGCTAGTGGATTTATTTTTTTAAGATCTTAAGTCCAGCCAGTTAACAGATGGCATTAGTTTCAGGCATACAAAATGGTCACTAAGCACTTCCAGACGTCGTCCTGTGCTCATCACAAGAGCGCTACTTTCTGCCACTTACAGCTTGGGAACCTTGGAGAACTTACTGAATTTGGTCTCTAGATTTCACCCCCTATATATAGGAGATCCCCCTCTATCAGAAGGTTCCGGTGGGTTTGCAGCAAGACCTTATGGAATGGCTCAACAGAACATCTAGAACACGGCGGACCCCTCAAGTGGTGCTCATCCTTCCCCTACCAGCGGCAGCAGCAGCCTGGGCTCCCCAACTCCAAAACTGGGAGCCTGGTGGGCGAGGCTCGTCCCTGCGGGGCCACAGTGACAAGTTCAGCCCCACGCAAAGCTATCGTAAAGCCCCCGCCACATGCCTCTGCACACCCTTTATAGGAAATCTAAGGATTGAAAAACTGGGCAGAGTAAGGTGAAGCTCAAGGGACTCTTGATCTCGGGGTTGTGGGTTGAAGCCCCACACTGGGAACAGAGCGTACTTTATTTTATTTATTTATTTATTTATTTATTTATTTTTAAAAGATTTTATTTATTTATTTGACACAGAGAAGGATCACAAGCAGGCAGAGAGGCAGGCAGAGAGCGGGGGGAAGCAGGCTCCCCACCGAGCAGACAGCCCGATGCGGGGCTCGATCCCAGGACCCCGAGACCATGACCCGAGCCGAAGGCAGCAGCTCAACCCACTGAGCCAGCCAGGTGCCCCCAGAGCTTACTTTAAAACAAAACAAAACAAACAAACAAAAAAAAAGCAGGGTAATAAAAAATAAAACTTTTATTGAAGCAGCTAAACTTAACAGCGCTGAGAACGCTTTTCCAACAGGACACCTAGGGAAGTAAGAGTTAAACAGAAGCATGGTCTAATTTCGTGCTTTTCTGATTAAGTGTAACAATTCTAAGTTGCCTGCTTCTTTTGCATTTATAAGCCAGAGAGAAAAGCCCTTGTCACGTTCCGTACCTCTCTCCGCCCTCACCGGGCGTCAAGCGGACCCTGGCTCGAGCTCCAGATGGAGGACCCCAGCTGAAGGTCTCCAGACCTTGCAGCCAGCGGGGCTCTGACTGGAGTCGCAGCCTCTCTCTCCGGCAATAGGTGCGCAGGCCTGCCTCCGGCTGCCACCGTCACCCACCCCGGGAGCATCTTCTGACGTGGACAAGACGGGAAACTAGCGCAGCCAGGTCTGAACAGATTTAAGGAGGTTTTACCATAAGGACCTGAAAACTGCCGGACCTGCCCTCCCACTGCACGGTCCTCCTCTGGGCTCTGGTTCCAGGAAGGAGGGCAGAGGCCACCTCACTCCTTCTTGCCCCCAGGGGCCGGGCTTCTTGTGAGCAGCTTCCCCGGGCTGGAATGGGTCAGTGTGGACACTGTGGGGGATTCCAGCTTCACTCTGTCCAGGAGGGTCTTCTTGAGGGCAGCAGGGGAGACCTTCTCTTGGTCAGCCATGGACTGCAGCTCTCTGCCAACAAAGCCCCACAGGGGTTGAAGGACAAGCCAGAGCTCCACACGGCTTCCCCGTGCATGTAACCCCCAAGTCTCGAGGACTGGACACCACGCAAAATTAGAATCCCAAATCAAACGCGCCCCCCGAGCTATGTGTGAGTGGTCACACGTGCTATCGGTGATATCACAAGGACACACAGTATGGACGGAATTTGGCCGGTCTGGAGTCACACACTGGTGCAGCCGCGCCTCCACTATGCACCAGCAGCCTGGAAATCCTTTCTAGGCCATAACCTCCTCTTCTGTAAATGCAAGCTCCCCACCCCCACGGGAACTGTGGTGAGTGTTAAACGTAGAAAGGCCTGCAAGACCCTCAGCGAGACAGAATCCAATAATCCCTGCTTATGGACAGAGTCCAACACTGCCGAGGGACCAGAGACGGCAGGCTCCACGGGACGGGGCCCAGCCCGGGGGCACGGAGGGGGAGCAACTCACCGTGTGCGGATGCAGGAGGCCTCCACGGCATTGATGAGCAGGGAGCGGAAGCCACCACTCTCTAGGAAGTGCAGGGCATGGATGGTGGCCCCCCCAGGGGAGCAGACGTTGTCCTTGAGCTGACCTGGGTGCTGCTCCGAGTCCAACAGCATCTTGGCGGCCCCCTGCGGGAAGCAGGAAGGATGAGAGAAAACAGCTTGGGCACCTTAGGACAGGCTTCTCCACAACCCCCTGCCCTTCCCCAGCCACTATCCAACTTAGGGACCTTCCCCATCCCACACCCCAGTCTGGAACACGCAGGGTGAGTATACTGACCAGCAAGGCCTGCGCCCCCAGGCGCACCGCCAGGCGCCGAGGCAGGCCCATCTTCACCCCACCATCAGCCAACGCGTCCAGAGCCATGAATGCCTGTGGAGACACTCACTGAGTCCTGGGGCAGCAGACACTCAGGGCTGCTCCCTGCAGTCTGCTCTCCCCGACAACCAGAACTAGCTCCAGAGGCTGGCCCCCTCCATCAGCTAGCTTTGCCCCAGCGTGGTCAACACCCACAGCCCCAATCTGCCTGCCAGCCCATCCCACTGCCCTAGGTCCCCGCAGGGTCTCACATAGGCAGGTCCACTGCCACTGAGCCCTGTGACGGCGTCAATCAGGTCCTCTTCCACCTCCGTGCAGAAGCCCACGCTGCTCATGAGCTGCTCCAGGAGCTGCCCATCCTCCACCAGGGCGTGGGTGCCTGTGGCGTACACTGTGGCGCCCTCCCGCACCACCACCGGTGTGTTGGTCATGCAGCGAATCACCTTGGGGGCCGGCTGGAAGGCCATCAGCTTCTGGGATGAGAAGAAGACCCAAGTGAGTCACCAGGGCTTGCCATCCACCCGCGCCCCCCAGCCCCTCAAACAAGCACCACCTCACAGGGGCACCAGGGCTGAGATGGGCACCTTTTCCACAGAGCTGATGGTGACTCCAGCAGCACAGGACACCACGATGTGCCTGGCCTGGACGTCCGCCCCGATCTCGTCCAGGATGAAGGGGATAATGTGCGGCTTCACAGCGAGGAACAGGACATCACTGTGCCTCACCGTCTCCTTGTTGCTTCGGGTCAGGTTCACGCCCATCTTCTGTAGGAGGAGACTGCCCAGCTCACAGAGCCAGGCAGCCTTACTTGGCCCAGGCCACCCTCCACCCCAGGAGCAGATGCACTCTGCCTGGGGCAGCCTTGAATTCCCTGCCCTGTCCCTCCAGGGTCTGCACCTACGCCCTCTATGCGCCACCGTGGCACGAAGTCTTCCCCAGTTGCTACTGGACAAGTGAGCTAGGTGCTGGGCAGGCACAAGCTTCCCCAAGGCAAGCGGGACGTGGCTGCCTCCCATTACCACCCCCCCCCCAAGTCCTGGGCACCCGAGCACCCCTCTGCCGGGTAAGTTCCCCTGGCTGTAAACAGGTGAGATAGGAGCGCCCAGGAGAGTCGGCCCGGAGGGTCGGCACTGTTCGGCTCACCTCGGGGCCCCCACCTTGCTCCCCACGCCCCTGCGCCGCCCTACCCTGAGCGAGGACACAGTGGGCAGGTCCATTTCCGGAGAGCTGGCTATGATCTTGTGAGCCGACAGGATGCCTGCGGAAGACAAGGCTCTCAGCCCGGCACCGCAGCCCCCCGGCTCCCGCGCTGTCCCTGAGAGGGCAGGGCGGACCCATACCGAGGCCCCACGCGGGATCGCGGCTCCCGCTGCTCCACGAGCCCAGTCCCGCCCACCAGACGCTCAGCAGTTTAGGCTCGCATGGCGGAGGGCGTCCCTGGACCCTGCTCCGGCCCGACCGCCCCCGCACGCCCACCTGCGGCCGTGAAGCCCCGCGCCAGGGCACAGGCCAGCTGGCCGGCGCCGATGAAGCCCACGCTCATGGCGGCGGGAACCTGCCCGGCAGCCGACGCAGGACACACAACGCCCGGCAGAGATAGATCCCAGCGAGCCACACGCCCCGGAAGCCAGACCCAAGGAGCTGCCGGCAGCTTCCGGCCCGACTCCCGTGGACCCTTCCCCACTGCCTGCCTGGCAGATGGTGCCGCGGGGCCTCACGGGGCCCCGCCCCACCCCGCCGGGGCGACCAGTCCGCGGCAGGGAGCCCGGGCGGACCAATCCGTGGTCGCGAGCTCTGGAGAGGAGGCACCAATCCTAGGGGGGAGGAAGCCTCTGCCGGGAACTCGGGCGGACCAATCCGCGGCCGAGAACTCGGAAGCGGAGCACCAATCTTCGGGCAGACCAAGCCTCCGCCGGGCGGACCAATCCTCGGCCGGGATCTCGAGCGGACCAATCCACAGCCGGGGGCTCCGGCCGTGTGTCCGCCCCGCGCACACGGGATTGGCGGTGGGAACCACTTGCGGGTGCGAGGCAACCCGGGTCTCCGCCCCGCGGGCCTGCCGGGGACCAGGTTCGGCCTCCCCAAGCCGGTGGGGCCCAGGGCGGGGATCCAGGCCGAAGACCGCTGGTGTTGTGTCTGGCCTGCCGGACGGGAGGCCTCCTCAGGTCGCGGACTACGGGGTTGAATGGGGCCGGGGGCTCGGACAGTCTCGGAGCGGCTGGAGCCCCGGCTGCCCGCCCCCTCCCGGTCTGCGGGGTGGGGGGCTCGGAAGCAGCCCCGGCTGTCCACCCGAACCTGCACTGCCCCTAAGAATCGGTCCTAACTAGGTTGGGGGTAGGCCCCTTTCCTGCGCTCGGGAGCATCCGCCCCTTCCGCGTGAAGGAGCGGTCAGCCGCCCCCGTTCGCACCTGTAGGTGCCTTCCAATCACGTTCTCGCAGACGGCGGGGGGCCAAGAACCCGGCGAGGACACCCCCGCCGGCAGTACGGACCGCCCTGAGCTTGCCCTGGGAAGGCCGCCCGTGACTGACCCCAGGACCATGGTGGACCTGCCCTTTGCTGCCCACCCGCACTCCCACTGACCTCGGTCCCTTTGCACTGGCCTCATGACAAACCTGCATGTCTTCAGCACTTGGGAGACCGTCTATGAGACGCCAGTCGGCTGTCTTCCCGTTCTTGGCTTCACTGAAATAAACCCCTTTCCCGTTTCATCTCCACTCCTTTCTCTGCCTTTGATTTGGTGAGTGGTGAGTGGCTGACCCTGGTCCTTCTGGGACCGGCGGAACCCAGTGCTTGTGCCGCTCCGTGCCCCAGCTGCAGGTAGGACCCAGCCAAGACCAGGCGGCCTATGACTCCATCCCCCGACCCTTAATGTTCACTATTAAGCAAAAAAATATATTGATAACTTTTTCTGATTAGAAAAGGAGTTCATGCATATTGAGGAAAATGCGGGAAATACCAAAAAAGTCAAGGTCAAAATAGTCTCATAATCAAACTTGCTAGGGATAGTTTCTTGGAAACATTTTCAGTGGATATCCTTACATTATTATTGTCTGTGCATATGTACTTTTCCAACCTTGGAAATAAATGATATACATACAGTTTTGAAACTTCTACATGAGATATATAATAAGCATTTCCCAATGCCACTGAAAAGTTGTTTAAAACAAGATTTCTGTGACTTAGTATTCCATTCTAAGGCTGCCCCACATTAACCATTCTTCCAAAGATCAAAATTAGGTTTATTGATTCATTCCATAGATGTTTACTGACCCAGGTTCTGGGGGTCCAGCCATGAACAAAACAAAAGTCCCTATCCTCACAAACACATCAGTTTTTCAAGTTATTCAGGGATGCCTAGGCAGATTAAGTATCTGCCTTCCGCTCAGGTCTTGACCCCAGGGTCCTGAAATCGAGCCTTGTGCCTGGCTCCCTGCTCAGCCAGAAGCCTGCTTCTCCCTCTGCCTATGCCTCTCTCTCTGTGTGTGTCTAATGAATAAATAAATAAAATCTTCAAAAAAGTAAACGAATAAAAAAATCATTCACTACTGTTGGAAAATGTTTATCTAACACTCTGATTATGTTCTTGATACCACATGTATAAAGGCTCCCTGTGGTGGCCGTGATGGCACCAGCATCTCAACAGTTCAAACTAGCTGAAGGAAAGGGGACCTTCCATACAGCCCTTGGGAAGGTACTGGGGAACATGCCATCTGGAAGGGGCACCTGCATCAGGTAGGGCCTGGGACTGGGGCCCCAGCACTGCCTGCATCCTTCCTCTCTTCTCTGGTCTTTACTTGCTTCCATTTGGCCCTCCTTTCTGGTAGAAGAATCTTCGGCAGGCAGCGGGGAGGGTGGGAACTTCTGAATGCTGTCGGCCCCTCTGAGGGATGCTGGGCTCCCCATAGGCCCCTATGAGGGATGCTGGGCTCCCTATAGTCTGTTTGGGAGGCTGCAGGGCCCCCTTGCTTCCTGCCCCTCCCCAGAAGGGCCCCAACCTGGCATGACACATGCTGTCCATGTCCAGCACCTGTGTCCTTGGGCGCCCACTCTATCCATTTTACTCCATATGAACAGGCAAAGAGAAGACCGGAAGGAAAGAGGGGAAGCTCACCAAGCTTCCTGGACTGCCCACCTTCCCCTCTCTCCTTCTCCCTCCTCCTCCAGCTCTGTCAGCTGCTGCTGCCCTACCCCCAACTCCCTCCCTACTGTCCTGTTCCTCCCCCTCCTGCTTTCCCAAAGTGGATAATGCTGTCTTTTCTGCCTCCCCTTTTCCGGGTAACCTCCACCCCTCCCTCCCCACCCAAGGCCAGACCTCCTTTCTGGTCTAATTCGCTGGCTCAAGGGTTGTAACAATGCTGGTGATCCAGGGCATGAGGGAGGATCCTGAACCGCTTCCAGCTTCCAGGGAATCCTACACCAAGTCCTCTTGACTCCAGTCCATCCTGACTTAGGGACCTCTCCAGGGAGGCACATTTTGCATGCATTTTTCTTTTTCTTTTTTTTTTTTAATTACACTAGTAACCCATGTTAATTGTAGAAACATTTTTTAATTTGATTAAATGAAAAAATGAATATTGCTTTTAATCCCAGTACCTAAAGAGATCCAATGTGACTCTTTGGAACGTAACTACACTCCCTTGTCCTATAAGCAGGCACGTCTTACACCTGATTTTTTTTTTTTAAGATTTTATTTATTTATTTGATATATATAGAGAGAGATCACAAGTAGGCAGAGAGGCAGTCAGAGAGAGAGGGGGAAGCAGGCTCCCCACTGAGCAGAGAGCAGAGAGCCTGAGATCATGAACTGAGCTGAAGGCCAAAGGCAGACACTTACTTAACCAACTGAGCTCCCCAGATGCCCTTAAACCTGATTTAAAAAAATTTTTTTTAATAATTTTTATTTTTTATTTATTTTATTTTTTTAATTTATTTGACAGAGAGAGAGACAGTGCGAGAGGGAACAAAAGCAAGGAGAGTGGGAGAGGGAGAAGCAGGCTTCCTGCTGAGCAGGGAGCTGGATGTGGGGCTTGATCCCAGGAATCTGGGGTCACGACCTGAGCTCAAGGCAGACAACCATTGAGCCACCCAGGCGCCCCTAAGCCTGATTTTTTTTTTAAAAGATTTTATTTATTTATTTGACAGATCACAAGTAGGCAGAGAGGCAGACAGAGAGAGAGAAGGGAGGAAGCAGGCTCCCTGCTGAGCAGAGATCCCGATGTAGGGCTCCATCCCAGGACCCTGGAATCATGACCTGGGCCGAAGGCAGAGGCTTTAACCCACTGAGCCACCCAGGAGCCCCCCTAAACCTGATTTTTAAAAGAAGTACGGTGTTCATGTTGTATGTGAAAACATTGTAATTACACCTTGCTTCTAGCAGGTTTGACAGACCAGCTTCATTTCTGCTGTTGCCATAGAAAGGCACTGCGAATTTTGCATCACATGCCGCAGGTGAGAAGTCTGGGTGGGTCCGGCTGGTTTCTCTGCTCTGGGTCCCACAGGCCACATCAAGACGGCAGCCGATCCAGGTCCCACCCTAGAGGCTCTGGGGGAGAATCGGCACCATGACGCAGTCAGGCTGCTGGCAGAATTTGGCTCTGTGTGGCTGTAGCCTGAGGTCCCCTTTCCTTGTGTCGTTCTCAGCTTCTGGAAGGCCCTCACATTCCCGCGCTCACAGTCCCCTCCATCTGCAAAGCAGCAATGGCAGGTCCCTCCCTTTTCGTGGTTCAACTCTTTCTGGCCTCCTTCGCTGCTTCTTGTTGATTCTCCTCCTCCTGGGAGCTCCCCGGTGTGATCTGAAGCCGGTGCCCAGACACGGTGGACAGGGAGGGAGGGAGGAAAGAGGTAGCTCCAGATGGGTTGAACAAGCACAGGGAACTATATAGGAGGCTTGTCTTGGGCGCCCGCTAGATGGTGGATCTCTGCCCACCTGCTCCTCATGGTTCTCAGATCGGCCTTAACAGGGTTCCGTCCCTGATGGTCCCAGCCCCACATCCCTGTCTCAAGGCTGTCCTGGGGGCAGCTTCTGGGCAAGGGCAACCAGAATCCACATTCCAAGGACAGGGGAGGGACTGAAGAGCTTCCCTCACCTGGGTCCAGCTCACGGGTCAGCCAGCACTGACATCTTCACATTAACCTTCCCTAAAACCTCATCTCTGTGCCTCCAGCAGAGAACGTTTTCTGCTTTGAAAGAATCCTGTGATGAGACTAGATGTACCTGGTCATTCCAGGATCATCTCCTTGTCTTGAGGTCGGTAACCTTAATCACAACTGCAAAATCCCCTTTGAAATATAAAATGACTGTCACAGGCTCCGAGGATAGGGAGGCATGGGTGTGTTGGGGAGAACACCCTGCCTACCACACAGTCTCCCTGTGCGGAGGAACTCATCCTTCCATTCTGAAATGAGGCCAATCTCCTGGATTTTTTAGATCACAGGAGATGCTGGGAGCAGGCCCACTCTTGCCCCTGATTGAATGGACTGGCTAGGAGCCCCCAGACCTTTTAGAGCCACAGATAGGTCACTGAGTAGCTGGTGGAACCCTTTAGAAGGTATGGATACCCTTCTTATAAAGAAAACAGTGGTCTACCCTGGTATTCACAGCATCCCACCTGGAAGGGCTTCATTCAGATGTCTTATGGGGGTGATCTAGGCCTTTCTGTCTGTGCCAAGTCCTCTCCACTGCCTCCAACCGTACACTTGCCACGTTCTCAGATCCCACCTGTCCAGAGATGGGCTCCATTTTCCCCTCCACTAGTCCATTGTTATTAATTAGCTTTGTAGGTACAAACAGAGCCCAAGAACTTCAACAGCCAAACATAGGGAAACCCAGGTGCCTGGAAAGGTTATGTAAGGATGCTGCCAGCTGTGGCAGCTTCCAGGTGACCTGGTCACTAACGCCCATGTCCTCAGCAGAGCACGTTTATGGGGAGGGGGGCGGCCCTGCAGTGGGAAGGAGTGTTAGAACCCATGCCTTGGCGTAGGGATTCAACAGCTTTGCATTGTCCCTGCCTCGATTTCTTCATCTGGAAAATGGGAATCATAATACCTACCTCAAGGAATTCATTGTAAGAGTTAAGTGACATAAGCTCTATAAAATTGCCTGGCACAGCACCCTGGCTTACAGTGAGGGCTCAGTAAGGCTTAGCTTGCTTGCCACACCATTGTCACCCCGGGTCCTGTCCCCATAACCACTGCCTGGCGGGGAGGAATTTTTTCCAAAGAGATGGCATGTGTGAGTGATTGTTTACAATACTGGTTTTGGAGTGAGGGGGGTTGGAGAATCTAAATGTTATAAATGAAAGCTTAATCTAAACCTAGTTATTGCAGTGTTTGGGGGTCTCGGTCACCCCCTCTCTTCACGTCATTATGAGATCTTGTCCCCATCATTGCTCCCTTCTCTCTCAAGTAAAGGGTACCAGAAACTAAATGCAGAAACACAAAGCAAACCGTCACTTTATTTTGGAGGATTATCTACACTCAACTCTTTTGGCTACATTTTTTTAAAAAAAGTAAATACACATGGGTTCTGGTGGGGAAAATTCTAAAACCATGGGGGAAATAATGCAACTATGTACTGGAAGGGCGGGGGGGGGGGGGCGGGGGAGAGGTTAGGGCTCTCTGACCCCCAGGGCAATGACTCAGAGCTGATTCCCACCTTCTCCCTTTTAAGAGGAAAGGGTGACCCCATTGGCTTGAGGTCACAATTGTGACCCTGTTCCATCCAGAAACCAGGTGTCCTGACTCCCTGCCCACTGCCCCAGGTGGAAGCCCTTGGTCCTCCCTCCTGGCAATCTCTCAGGGGAGTTTGTTCACAAGAATCCTGAATGGGTCGGCGTTTTGGGGAAAGGGTGTTCTTTTTTAGACCTCCTCCCTACCTAGGGAAACTGGGGGATTTCTTAAAGTTTTGTTGTAATTCCCATCATGTAGTAGAGTAAATCAGTCTGTTTCCCCAGCTCACATCATAGGGCACGTTGTACCATAGTCAGCTGAGAATTTGCCACAGAAACTCCCAGCAGGCAGCCTGTCTGAGCCGACTGCATCCTATAACAAGGAGGCTGGGATTTCCTCCTAGAACTCAGCAGTCAGAGCTGCATTAGTGACTCATGTAAGTGCTTAGGGTGGGTGATGGTGCAGAAGAGGACAAGAAATGGAAGAACATGCAGGAAAGGTAAAACAGGGTGCTGAGTGGGGCCAGGGGTCACCTGCTAAGGAGGAAATTAACACCTATGTCAAGACCTGTTTCTGTGCACCTGTCCAGCCTGACACCTGGGTGGCTCTGCCCCCCACCTAAGGCTCCAGCTTCCGGGGCACGGGCGCCCCGTCCCAGGAGCAGCTGCACTTCTGCACCCTCATGTTGGGCAGGCTGACCACCTGGAGCCTGGTCCTGCCTCCTTCCTTGACGCTCACGATCATGGGCAGCGAGGTCGTCTCAGAGGCGATGCACTGCCGCGGGCCCAGAAATGGCCACTCGAAGGGCAGGGGCCGCGGGGGCTGCTGGCAGGCGCCCACGCACTCGTAGGCCAGGAAGCCAGGGGGCTCCAGGACCCAATTCTCAGCCCACTTCATCCCCTGCAGGTCAATGTACATCTCCTGGCGGCAGCAGCGGGTGGTCTCCGTCACGGGCGCCTCGGGGTCACAGTCGCCCTGAGCTCTGCGAAGGGGGCGGGAGTAAGGAGAGGCAGAGGTCAGCGGGGGGCGGGGTAGGGGGCGGGGCGGGGTTGGGGCATCTGGGAGGGAGCTTTACCATCCCTCGCTGCTCCTTACGTTCAAAAGGCTATTTGTGGCAAGGACGGTCACTACCAACAGCCAAACAGTACATCACAAGTGCCACTTGTCCTGAGACTGAAGGACAATCTCCTGCGGGCACTCACTCCCATGGGCATCCTGAAATGTCCCACTTGGACTGAGCTGGCGTTCCCCCTGTGCCCTGTGATCGGGGTCCCCCGTGGGGCCCGGGCTCCTACCCGTAGGCCCCCAGGTCCAGCGTGTGCAGCTCCAGCTGGGGCTCGCCCTGCCGCGCGCCCTCGGGTCCCTGGGAGGCGAAGCGCACCAGCTTGTGGGCGCCCGAGGCCAGCGGGCCCAGGTGCTCCCTGTGCACCGTCACCTGCAGGAGCAGAGGCTGGCGAGGCCGGCTCAGCTGCTGCCAGAAGGTCACCGCCTCTGTCACGTCGAAGGCCTTCCAGCCGCTCTCGTGGAGGGACACCAGCCTGCGACAGGGCAGCACGGAGACGGGAGCCTGAGCTGGGTGCTGGGGGTTTCTCCCGGGGAGCCTCCCCTCGCATCCCCTGCGCTGGAGCCCCTCCGCCCTGGGACTCCCGCCCCCTCTGCCCCGAGCTAGGACTTCCCTTCCCTTCCCTCCCACCCCTCCCCTCCCTTACACGCCCCGCCCGCGCTGCGACCTCCACACCCCCTCCTCTCCCCGTTAGCAACACCCACCTGGAGTCCACGAGCGAGGTGCGGTTGGAGCTGTCTTCGCGGACCTGCAGCCACTCGACGGTGACGCGGGCGCGGGCGCTGTGCGGGGACAGTCGCTCGTGCCTGCGCAGCGCGGCCCTGGGCACCGGCTCCTGGAAAAGGCGCAGCACCGCCCGCACCAGCTCGCTGTTGGGGGGCAGCCGCCGCTCCATGCTGAACACCAGCAGGTGCGTGGAGGCCTCGGACGCCAACCACCTGCCCGCCACCTCTGGAGACAGGAACAGGGTCAGGAGGCCTCTCCAGCACCAGGTGGCTGCGAGGGGATCAGGATTTGGGGCCAGCCAATAGCATTTCCCTGGAAGTCCCCAGGGAGATCCACAGGGAGGTCCCCAGGAATCTGCAGGATCGATGTGGGGGCTGGGGTTTGGCCTCAGGTGCACAGGCATGCAGTTTTCTGTTTTGTTTGTTTTGAAAAATATTTTATTTTATTGAGAGAGAGAGTGCACGTGGGTCCCTCAAGGGGAGGTGCAGGGGGAGGGGCACAGGGAGAAAACGGATCTCAAGTAGGCTCCCCGCCAGTGTTGAGCCCAGGAGGGCTCTATCTCAGGACCTGGAGATGATGACAACAGCCAAAATTAGGAGTCCATATTCAACCAACTGAGCCACCTGAGTGCCCCTAAGATTTTATTTTTAAGAAATCTCTATGCCCAGTGTGGGGCTCAAACTCACAACCCTGACTTCGAGAGTCACATGCAACCTTCGCTGGGCAAAGGGTGCACAGCAAAACTGGGAGGGCAGTCACCTCTGCCGAGTCTCCAGGCCTCCAGGCACCCACCCTCCCAGCTGGAAAGCAGCAGGTGTGGGTCCGCCCTGGGCACTGAGGAGAGGAGCCCCAGCCCCACGGAGCTGAGAGGGTGCCATGCCATTCACCTCTCCACAGGCTGACCTTGAAAATGATGGAATCAGCCCTTTCCTCTCATCTCACAAGCTGCCCCCCACTCTGGGAGGGAATCAGAACTGGTTCACACACACACAACCCCCCCCCCCCTTTTCCAGGGAAGCCAACAAGCTCAGAGACGTCGGGAGACTCGTCTAGGGCAGGAGGACAAATAGCAGAGGGGAGCCCCGAACCCCAGGTCCTTCCTCTCTTGCCTCGGCCTTGGCAGTGGGGCAGCTCCCCCTGGGCCTGAGCGGCGGGGGCGCTCGGGGCAGGCAGAGACCCCCTTCCCCCGAGACGCAGCCGTCCTCGCACCCAGGGGTCCCTGTCGCGGCGTCCCCAGAACAGGCTCCTCCCATCTTCGCCCCGCCCGCCCCCAGCTGGGACCGGGGCGCGGCGGCAGGGGGTCCTCACCTCGGAACCTCTGGCTGAACCTCTTCCCTCGAGAGCGGACCCCGTGGCTGCGCTGCAACAGGGCCACGTACTGGGCCATTACGTGCGCGGGGGTGACCAGCTCCTCCAGGTCGCCTGCGTCCAGGACGGGCGCCTCTCGGAGCTGCAGCTGCCGCAGCAGGGTACTGAGGATGTGCTCCCCGCTCAGGGAGGCCCCGGGGCCCGGTAGGGGCAGGGCCCACAGCGCCCAGCACAGCCACAGCGACCTCATGGGGCGGCGCTCGGGGAGGAGGAGTGGCGGCGGAGCAGACAGACCTGTCCCGGGAGGAGGCTTGAGGAGGGACCGGGCTGGCTGGGCTCAGGGTCGGACTGGCTTTATAGGCAGCCTGGGGCTGAGCCCAGAGGGAGGGAGGCCACACCCCTCGGACCCCCTGGTTGCTGAGCAGCCAGACAGGTCCAGGAGCCTGGAGGAGGGGGCCATGGAGACCGCGCAGGAAGGCCTGTCTGGATGCCACACCAGCCTGGGGCCTCTGGCCATGGCTGTCTGGGCAGCTCAGGAGTGACTTTAGTGAATCTTACATTTCCCTGGCGCTACCCTGGTCCCAGCCTATGAAAAAGTGGGCCTATTCTGTATCAACGAGAATCCTATCAGGCATCTGTTGAAATCTCTTTCCTGGAGGCCAGTCTGGGTCTCCGTGTGTTGGTCAGGAAGGAAGGAGAGGACTCTCCATTCCTGCCCGCTCTGGGCCAGGCCCCATCCAACAAGTGCCCACAGAAGCCCCCAACCCATCTTCCCCTACTCTCCATCCCTGTGGGACCCCTTCTGCTCCTCTCCACAGGCACTCCGAAGACCGAGTCCTGTCTGTGATTAAGGAAGCCACTGCCGTCAGGCCTGGCTCTCTGGGGGTCCCAGGAAGGGCAACTATGCAAGTGTCTTCGCAGTCCCACAGCCAAGGCCCGTCAGCTGTGCCAGTCGCTCTGGGAGCACTCCATAGCCTGAGTCTGGCCATGGGCTCACACTGGCACTCAGGGGGACAGGGTCAAGGGACCAGGACCTGGAAAGTGAGGCCATAGTTGCCCAGAGTCCTGTCTTGTCCAAAGCCTTAGGTACTGAGCACCTGGGTTTGGGAGCCTTCCAGGGCCTCTGAAACACAGGGTTTAGACTGGCTGGGGGGGCACATATGGGGCCTGTGCACCTTGCTGGCTGTCGGACCTTCTAGCAAGTTCCTCAAGGCCCTCATGACTCAGTTTCCCCAGCTGAAGGAGGTGCTGTCATAATCGGGTCTCCTTCGCAGGGCTAGTCTGGAGAGCAAATGCACTAGCACACGGAGAACATGCATCCCAGAGCCCAGTATACAGTAAGTGCACAATAAGGGTTGCCCCCCCCTTATTACCAGTGGCTGTTCTAAAAATGGCCACTACTAGAACAATCATTCCTTGAGTGCTCCCCATGTCCCAGGCCCTGAGCAGGTGTTTGTAACAGGAGAGGAGTCAGGTGTCCTCAAGCACCTTTCAGAGGCAAAGTCAGAACACCGCTCAGGGAAGGCGCAGCGCAGAGAACCCATCGGAGAGCTCACTGCAGCTCTCCTGCAGCCTGAACCCCCCGGCACCCCGAAGCCCCATGGGCCACCTGCTCTCTCTGGGCGGCACAGCCTCTGCCGCCTGCTCTGTCTGGGCCGCACAGCCTCTGCTGGGAACCAAGGTGTGGCTTTTCTCTGCAAGTGATTAGCAGGGACTTCCTTGCTGCAAACATTTGGGCCTTAAGTCAAGCCAAAAGGTGCAGAAGTGTCGCATTCGCAGGCAACCCAGGACCCGTGGCCCTTAGTCCCTGGCAGCCATCCTGAGCTGCTGTTCCATAAATATGCAGCGGTCCGCCACCCTTGCCACTTGCAGAGAGGAAGCCCGGTGGCTTATCATGGGCCAACGGTGCCAAGGAAGTAACACCCGGGCTGCCCCTCGCAGGCCAGGGACCCCTCCCGGGGCCCCCAACATCTAGGCCCCGGGAGCCCCTGGGCCTAGAAGTTCACAATGAGGCCATGTGACCCCCCATGTTGGTTGCAACAGGGACTGGCTGTCCCAGGGCTGGGGGAGGTCAGGCCCCAGTGCTGCTGCTCCCAGGCCGAGTGGGCATGGGGACACGAGGCTCTTCCCCCGCCTAGGAGACACCTCTGGGCTGAGAACCCCTGGGAATCCTCAGTGGCCTGAGCCCGTTTTGCACCTGGGATTGCCAACCAGTTATACTGAAACTTCATTTTTCCAAGAAGAAAGTAAATGGGAAAGACAGTCCTCTGCTGGGTTCTCTTCCTCCCCCAGGCCTGTCCCTCGGCCTGGGGGTGGGTCTCCAAGCACAGAGATGGGTCTACAGCTTTGGTCTCAGTGGGGACTAGAACTACCAGTCAACACCCAGCATTTCTGACTGAGGAATGGGATTCTGGAACCCGGTGCTCAGGGGGCTCCCCAAAATGCTTCTAGATCCTGGGGACCTCCCCCAGGAGAGCCTAGCAGCATTTGGCATCCCAGAGAGTTTGCCCAGCCAAGAGGCCCCCTGCTCCTGCTCGCAGCTACTCTGTTGACTCAGAAAGCTGAGGGCCGCAGAGCCTGCCCCACCCCCACCCCACCCATTTCTAAAGCCAAGAAAACTGAGGCTCAGAGAGGCGACTCCTTGCCCCAGCTCCCAGTTTCCAACGGCTGCCAGCAGAAAGCCAGGCCTTTGATTCCTATAGGCCAGGATTCCTTCCACACCCCGAAGCTCTTTCCGGGGCATGGTCCTGGCCGACCTCTGAAGTGGGCAGGGTGAACCCCCACCCCCCCAACCCCAGACGAGCTGGGGACCACAGAGGAGAAGCAGACAGACAGAGGACAAATCCCCTGACTCCCTGGACACAGGCTTTTAGTCCTGAATGTGGATTCCAGGCCGGCTGAAGTTTTGCTGGGGAAATAAAATAATTGGGCAATTAGCTAGTGGCCAGAAGAAAAACACGAATGTGGATTGAGACGCTTTGTACCAGAGGCTCATTAGCTAGTGGGAGGGAGGGCAGGCCCTCAGGGACTGTGGTTGAGGCGGGGGTCTGGTCTTGAGTCTGTGGGCTCAGGGTGGGCTACAAAAGCGGGATAACAGCAAAATCACCTCTTCTGACCCGTAGGAGGGAAGCCTACTTCTAAAGCTGTCTAAATCTGCCCTCTTCCCCCCAGGCTTTGTAAGGCGGAAGATACCCATACCCTTTACCAACCTGTATTGCTGGGAATTTTAGAGTTTTGCAAAGAATTTTTTTCTTTAAACTAGGGCATGGTAAAATGAGGTTTGGTTTGGTTCGAATTCCAGGGTAATTAACACATAGTGTTCTAGTAGCTTCGGGTAAAGACTTTTCTCTCTCAGAGATACGTTGGCATGCCGGGAGCACTAATGGTCTGAATGCCGTACAAGAAGGCAAGTACCTTTGAACCCCACTGATCTGAACTGCACGGGTCCAATTACACACAGATTTTTTTTCCCAATAGATATAGTCCTGGGCTGTAATTTCCCTTCCTTACAATCTTTTTTTTTTTAAGATTTATTTATTTATTAAGATTCTGGCTGTGTATTTTCTCTTCCTTATGATCTTTTTTTTTTTTTTAAGATTTATTTGTTTAAAGAGAGAGAGCACAAGTGGGGGGGCAGGCAGAGAGGGAGAAGCTGACTCACCACTGAGCTCAGAGCCCTACACGGGGCTCGATCCCATGAACTAGAGACCATGACCTGAGCAGAAATCAAGAGTCAGATGCTCCACGGACAGAGCCACCCAGGCGCCCCTTCCTTATGCTGTTCTTAATGCCATTTTCTTTTTCCTAGCTTACTTCGTTGTAGGAATACAACATACAACACGTAGAACATGCAAACTATGTGTTAATCAACTGGTTAGGTGATCGGTGGGGCTTCTTCTGGTCAAGTAGTGAGGTTTGGGGGGAGTTGAAAGTCCTATGCAGATTTTCGATGGCACCCCAACCCCCACGTTGTTCAAGGGTCGGCTGTACACTGAGCTCACATGCGTATGCGTTAAGACCCAGGACAGTTGAACCAGAGTCTCCTCTGACCTAGGGGGCCCGGAGAGAGTCCAGCCTTCCAGCTCACTGGGTCCTCTCGGTGCAGGATTCCTGGATTCTTTGGATCGTGCAATGGCCTGGTTCTGTCGCTCTGCACAACATGGCTGTGTTGGACATGCAAGCTGGCTGGGCTTTGAGAGTCGGCTCCCCCTCTGCATGGGCATGGGGCTCCATGCAGCTCTCCCACGATTCCGGCCTTCTCCCAGGCCAGGTTTGTTCTGTGGGACTATCCCTGGATGCGATGGCTTCTGCCTGGAACCACCCAGGAACCCATCTAATGCCGGGCCTCCCGCATGGGCCTCGCTGGGCACACAGTCCAGAATCTGACCCAAGCAGGGGAAGGCTGGCTGGGGCGGCAAGAGCAGGCCTGTGAGGGACAAACGCCTGTCTTGCCATGAAGGTGATGATGATCTGGCATGTTCCAGATGATTCCTCAGCTTCCTGATTGCCTCAGGGAGGAAAGAAAGGGCCCAGAAAAAAAAAGAAAGAAAGAAAGAAAAAGAAAAAAGAAAGGAAAATTCAGAAGAAAAATAAAAAAGAAAAAGAAAAAGAATTTTTTCCTGAGGTCTTTTCTGGGCTCTCCCCGAGCATCTGAGAGTAAGAACAGATGAACGGAAAGGTTTTTTTTCTCTCTCTAAAAGCTCCAAACATAATCACGATATGCAAGTGAGGTTTCATATTTAACATCTGAAGTTAGCATCATGTAGGTCAATATTTCCCTCTAAATTCCTGTTACTTCAGAGCGCCTGCGTGGCTCGGTCTGTTGAGCAGCTGGCTCTCTGTTTCAGCTCAGGTCATGATCTCGGGCTCAAGGCATGAGCCCCACGTCAGGCTCCACGCTCAGCGCGGGGCCTGCTGGACATCTTCTCTCTTTCTCTCTCTGCACCTCCCCTCATCAAAGAATAAATCTAAAAAGTAAATAAAAATAAACTTCTGGTTCTTCCCCCCCACCAGCCTTTCCTGCAGAACACTCTTTGGTGTCTTTTTTGGTGAATATTTTTCACTTTCGGGAACCCCAAAAAAGGAGCAGAGTCTGGTGTGAACGAACCCTGACCCTCTGCCTGGGTGACCCCTAACATGTCACTTCTGTGTCACAGACATGGGCTCCCACTCCTCACCCTCCCACCCCAGAGGCTCTCCCGAGGCCCCACCTGGCTTCCCCAGCCCACATCCCTCCCCCCACCAGCCGCC